CAAATTTCTCAAGCACAAGCTTTCTTAGGCTGATGAGGAAATACCTACATGTAATGTTTAGGTAGTCACTCACTCACTCGTACATGCTCTGTGCCGAACATTCGTTCTAGACTTCTAGGCCTGAAATTTAAAAAAAAAATGCACACTTAAAACTGAAATTTAGGGCATTGTGTGTGAAGAAGTAGAAGAACCAAAATAATATATTATAGCGCTATCTGCATTATAGATTTATTCTGACAACTACTATAAAACCAGGAACTGTTAAGACATGAAACTTTCATGGCTGTTTTGTGGTTTTAATCACATCAATTTTGACATGTGTGGTTACACATCATTTCCAGCTTGAAATAACACAATGTGACCTCTATACTAGGATCATTTACCTTTCAAGTCTTGCTTAATGCTCATTTTTTGCTTTTGTGAATTTCATATTGAAGTTCATGTGTTTCTGATTTTAATGAAAGGGTAATGGTGCTATTGTTATTTCTCGCTATTGCCGATACCCCCAAATGACCGGTTTAGTTTCATGTAAGTACTTGTGGTTTTTCTTCTCCATCGTGCCTCGAATACATTAGTCATGTGGAGTTGGCACATTACAAATACTCTATATTATTATTATTATGCTCCCATTTCAAATGCACTCTGGGATAGCTTGGTGACATACTGTAGTCACTTCCGGTCTATTTTGTGCGGTTGTAATGTGCCGTCCGGTCTAAAAAGGTTGCTCCAAAAGGCAAGACAAGTTTGAAATCACTGCACGATCTCGACTCTGTTAGTATCATTTTGACAAAGAACAATTACAAAATGATGGACATGTAGTGGGACTCCCCAAGTTTTTCTTCTCGAACAATCATGGAATTAAAAAAAAAAATCCAAGGAAGTGATGCCAGCCGACAGGAGAGAGATCTAAAATAGCTTTCCTATACGTATATTGCGCAAACATAATTTGTGTACAGCACGCGTGCCGTATTCACACATACACTGGTAGTACGTAAGTCCCGGAAGAGGCTCAAAATTACATTGCCCAAGATGCGCACATCATGGCAATTGGGGGTATTGGCGATAGCGAGAATTAAACATGCATATAAACCTACTGATTGGACCACACAAAAAAATGATTACAAATACTCTATGAGGGCCCCAATCTCTTTTACCGGCAAGGAAGTAGGGTTGTCCTCTTCCTTTTAATTAATTTATCTCATTATCCAGGGTGGGAATTGTGACTTGTCAGCTCTAATCTAATTAGCACTAAGGCGTGGATAAAATCCATATGTCACAACACCCTTTATTTAATCTTCAAGCTTTCTACTTGTGTGTCTTACTTTGTGTCACTTCTAATGAATTTTGCAAACTACATTAGCTACATGTACATCCACATTAAGTCTACAAACTTGAAGTTTAGCTTTCCATAACATTGAGAGGAACATTTCAGTGAAATCTGATTTAAAATAAGAAAGTATTGAATTTATTAGTGTTGTCATTGGTAAAACACAAATTGGCAACACTGATGTATCTTGTAATGTCCTCTTCAATATGCTCTGTACAGAAATGTAATAAACATTAATTTTCTTGGTTATTGATGACAGTAAACAACTTTTTAATACAGGGGTTGTATAAAAACGTATTTGCAATTATTATATAACATTCTTTTATTTTTTGTACAGAGCAAATAGGAGGGAGTCTCGCAAGATGTATGTCACAAAGTTGCCACTTTATGTTTGATTGATCGCAACTTCAAAAATTCACAACATTCCTATGTTTAATCTGATTTTGCTCAAACTTTCACTGAGCTGTTATTCTTATATTTCTGTTTCCATTAAAACCAACTTACATGTAATACCAGCGTGGATTTCTCCATTAATAATTGTATTATTGTAAACATTGACTTTTTGATATCAGATACAGTTTATTTGTTGGTGGGTTTCATTAATTTCATTAAATTAACAGGAGTGAGAACAGAGTCACACACATGTACATGTACATGAACACACACACTTTTGTGAGTAGCCCACAATACATGTTCTACACTTCCCCCCTACACTAGTACTTCAGTTCTGACGCCCTTCTATCCAGTGAGATCTGACAGCAAATGCTGTGGCCCATCCACAAAGCCTATTGAAAGCCCTGTGAGTAAGTTGTTGGACCATGGGTTTTGTAAGTAAGAAGAGGTTCTATTATTTGCCCAGTGCCAGTCTTCTTATCACAATTGAACTTGCTAATACCAAGGCAAACAGGACAATAGATCCTGTGGCCAGATAGGCTTGGCCTGTAGTTGAATAAGAGATGATTGCATCATATTACATAACACCCTCTGCAGTGGGCCTGCATATTTATGAAAGGTATGCAGGTAACTAGAGGATGTACCATAAGCTCAAGCGAGGGAGTGATAAGAATTCCTTCTTGGAAGACCCTTCCAAAGGGCAATTTACGCACTCAAAAGGGGGCACTCAGAAATAATCTATACACTGTCAATGGGAAGTAGGATCTAGACCAATTTGCATATTACTGTCCACAGTTTGATGGATAAGCCCATGTCAATAAAGTTATTTTGAAGAAGAAGAAAGAAGAAGAGAGGGGGAAAAAAAAAAGGCTCTTGAATTTTATCCCACGAGCTGAGTTATCAAAGCAAACAACAGATCTTCTGATGAATCATAGGTTTAAACCATTGTTCTGAAAATCATTACCGTTCATTAGGTCTAAACTGTATGCTATTTTTTGGTTATTATCAGGACATCACTATTTAATGTTATACAGAACCTTTGAAGATTATTGGAACATACATATACTCTTTACTGAGATTATACTACATGTACATCTACATGTACATGTACTTTCTCTTGTATGTGATATTTTCCTATGAGTCAATACAAAACAAAATGCCTACAAATGCTCTCTGAATATTGAATACTACATGTGCACAACACTAAAATTAAATATACCAAACAAATTTTTGTAGAAGAAGGCATCTGAGTGATGAGCAAATTCAAGATAAAGGAAATCAAGCTACATGTAGTACTATTTCAGACCCATGGTCATAATTTGAAATACTTATCATTTCATTTGTATGTTATATTGTTGTAGGAGTGTAAAGATTTATTTAAAAATTAAAGACTTTCAATGAAGCATTGTAAAAAAGCATTGTTTGTTCTTTGATATTCAGTTTAATGCTAATTGTACTTCTATTTTTTTATGTGACCAATAAGTTCGGTTAAATTTAGTAAGCTTTGACAAATATCAATATAGCGGATAACATGTAGGCTGCATTTATTTCTGTTAGCCCCCTGATGAACTGATGAACTTCTAATAAACTGAAATAACCTTTATTAGCATGTTACACATATTTTGTACAAAGACAGTCCGGAAGCCGGTTTATGAATCATTTATTCGATGATCAATTTTATTTACCATAAAATCTCCAAAGACTCTTCAACTTCCATGTAAGACAGTTAATCATAATTGTAATAAAAACTGCTGAGAGCCAAAAGGGTAGTAAATCATATGAACTTTTACATATCGTTAACATCCTGGCTTGCAGCAGGAGATATTTGCATCTGTGAACTCAAAAATTTCTAGGTTAATATACTCTATTGTAACGGTAATCGCTAGCTAGCTAGGCAGGCTGTTTCCATCTTTGGAACTGTTCTGTCGTGTTTGTGAAATAGCATCCAGGTGGTGTAGAGACCTGCTGATTCATCTCTTCTTTCTTCACTAGGGATTACCTGTATGGGGCCCTTGTCTCACTGGCAGTGTGAACACAATACATGTACATATCTTATGGAAATAAACTGAAATCGTATTGAAAAAATATACTATGTGAACGCAACATATACATGTACAATGGAAATAAATATACTGATTATATTGGGTCGCTTTTTAAGTACCAGAAATTGCCCTTTTCCCCCTTTTTTGTTGTTGTTGCCTTCTACATGTAGTTTTTCCTGATCTTCATTTTGATTCCTCCCTGTGCAAGTTATGATAATAACTGTCCTAAAGGACAGAACTCTGTGAACTTCTTTTTGTACATTCAGCTACAATGTATACTTTGTTTGTTTGTCCGTTTGTCAAGTTTGTGGTGAAATAAAAGTGAGAGAATGACATAGTAGTTTTAAATAATCCAGATGCAAGAAGCGAGGAGCAGAGTTTTTTTGTCACTCAGCAATAGAAGGAAGCTATCTGTTTTCATTGGGGTCATCCTCACTGGTGATGCATGCCAATTCTGAGGCTAATCCATGCCTCATCCTCCTTCTTCATAATCAGGAAGTCAGAACTTGCTCTGTCATGAGTTACAACCAGAATAAGAATTCAACAATAATCATGGTCTATGGAATATGGTGCATTAGCTTTCTCCTTCTTTACAATACAAAGATGATGGAATAGTAAAGACATTGGCAGCGTTTCATGAAACACTCATAATGACAAGTTCGCTGACACCCCACTGAAATATATGTATTCAGATTAATACATGAGATGTCAGTGAACTCGTTCTTGAATTTGTTTTGTGAAACATTGCCTGAGAGGTTCTCTCTCTCTCTCTTTCTCTCTTTAGAAAAAAAGAAAAACCAATGGTATTCTTTTAATTTCAACCACAAATCATATAGGCCTTTCTCTATATTTATAAAATAGGAATGATGTATTTTGTGAAAAAGTTTATTTACCAAATCAGATGTGTAGAAAGATGGATTTTGGGCTGTATGAGCATTGTTTATATTCTAAACAAAATATAAGCCAGTGAATCGTGAGAAATGTTCACCGATAATATACCCATAGACTATGGTACTTGATTGCATTTTTAGTTTTCTTGACTTAAAGAAATGATAATTTATAAGTACTTTTTTGTTATTGATTATGTAATGGTTCACAGTTGAACTACATGTGTATTGACAATTTGATATATTGATCTTCATATTATATTTTTACCTTCAATATTTTGAAAAAGTATCCTTTCTGGTATTTAACAATATATTTTCTTTCTCTCCACTCTCTTCCCTCATTTTCTGCAGGCACAACTGTTTATAGTGACATTGTTATCAAGAAACCTCAAGATGTGATTGCGTTTCCAGAGGAGCCCCTGACATGGGATTGTCGGGTGGATACGCCAGGCTACTATGGGCCGTACGAGAGAGTATGGACCTTTGGCCATCATGTGATAAACACTACTCATAATGCACACTCGTATGTGCTAGCAAACGGGTCATTGTACATAGATAGCGTGGGGGCCCAGAAGGACCCTGGGTCTTACAGGTGCTGTGTTAAAAATGAGACGGGGACTCTGTGCAGTCAGGAAGCACTTCTCCAAATTGCTGGTAAGTAGTTGTCCTTGTGGTGGTACTTGTTTCACCGCAGCTTATATAACCAGGAAGATATCCTTTGAAAGTTGGAAGAAGGAACATAGAATAGTGTTCTTTGAATTTCCTCAAAGTGATATCAATTGATAGTTGATACCAAAATTTAAAAAAAGGGGAGAATAGTTCACATGTAACGTGACCTGCTAATTTTGACACAAATTACTTTGAATTATTTAGTACATGGTTCACAGGGTTCCAAAATGTTATTATATTAGATACTAATTCTTTTGACGTTTCTACATAATTCTATGTTGTATGTGGGGATATCCAAGCTAAAAGGGATTTCAGAATGATAGTATAGACTTCAACTTTAGATAACTAACAAATTTATATAATTGTTCTATATATTTTGTGTAATGGATCATGTTTACCCAGGAAATATGTATTTGTTCTGCTTACAGTTAAGTATTTAATCAAGTAAAAGTTCTATAGAGTTATAGAAAACACAAAACAAGCAATATTCTGCAACAGCTAAAGGCCCCCAATTGAATTTGTTTTTAAATTGTCCTCTACTGGTATTACATTAATACATTCCAGCAAATTTGATAGAGGTAATTAGTTAAATGATAGGTAAACATAATCTATTTGAGCTGGATCAGATGGAGATATGAAACTGTAAATCCCATTAACATGAGCTGTAATAAATCCCAGGAGATTTGAAACACAAGTGGTAAAGTGGCATTTGCTTCAGTACATAATTCATAGGGATTTTAACCACTGTGTCAAAAAATGCAACAAGAATTTGATTAGCAATATCTCTATGTCGTACAAAAATGAAACTAAGTTTCACTTATCACCTATGAAATTTCAATGAGGACAACTTTGTACTTTTTAAGATGTAGCCAATCAAAATTTAAAGACACCCCGTAGTGTTCACCTCTCTAAGTAAAATAAATTGACATTTTAAAATATCATTCAGATTTTTTTTAGATGAATGACAAATATAATTGGAAGGTGTTAACAAAACCTTTTTGACACACATAAACAAACCTGTGTTTGCCTGTATACAATGTAGTACAAGGCATGCTGATCTATAGTAGTGACCCACGTTAGATGGGAGATCTAGCTTGTTGAGCACTTGTTATGGGGAAGTGGCGACAGGTTGTGATGAAATCCTCACAAAGGAGGTCTTACGTAGTCGACATGAACATCCATTGCTTGTTCTCCTATCAAGTGCAAACAGGCTTCAAGAAATATTGAACTGTTGTCTAGTGACATTTCTGACCCCTATCTTTAGATCATGTAGTCTCAACTGATTAACCACTTTGTTTAACTAAAAAAAAGAAAAAGAATGAAGTTAAATGCATGTCATGAACATTTGTTTACAATTTTACATGAAACCTCTGACATCAAACTTACGCATTACAAAATCAAATACTAATTGACTAGAAGAGATTGTTAGACAACCTAAGATTTGATAAAGAGGCCAGGAGGGAAGGGGTGAGCTCAACCCGATTTGTCCAGTATCAGGAATGTCAATTGTTTCATTGGTTCTGTTTTATATAGGAAATGAGTTTTCTTCCTCTCGAGGCGAACCATTAATTGGTAAGTCAGGGTCCGTGTTGCATAATGGCATTCCGATCTTGACTCTTCTCCAGAGTATTCTCTATAATTATGTAATCGTAATGTCAAGCTAACAGAGGACCTTTCCCCACTGCTAATGATAAAATGAGATAATTACTGCTATTTGAATAGATGACAAGTATCTTTAGACTGATTCCCTTATGCTGTTAAAATTTCTTAAATTGGAGTTCAAATGCATATTTTAAATATCTAAATAATCAAGAGTTTATATTGAAAAACAAAAACAAAACCTGGAAGGGTGGTCAGCAAACACACACTTTTTCAAAATTAAAAAAGAACAGAAAATCATTACACCTTGATTCAAGCCCACTTCAGCTCTTCGCAAGTTGTCAAAGGCAAAGGGGGCTACATGATAGAGCCTATTTTCATATTTAATTCATCAAAATCTGACAAATTCCATATTTATTGTACATATACCGCCAAACTAATTGAAAATGAGGTTGTTCAAACAAACCTACCTTAATCTAATATCTCAAACATTTAAGCTTCAGAGCTCTTATTTCTGTTGATAGTATTACCGTAAATCTCTGTGTATAAGGCGCACCCCTATTCTGGGGGCAAAAAAAACACAAAAAAAACTTGTCACAAATAAAAGTAACAATATAGTTTATAGAAGAATGTGTAAGATCATTAAGGTAAATTAAAAACAGTAGAGTAGCTAGGATAGAACCTTGTGGTACGCCGTTTGCAATAGAAGAAAATTTTGAGGAATTACTATTATAAATTTCATATTGAGATCTATTAGAAAGATTACTTTCAAACCAAGATGACAGACAAATTTGAGTGTTGTTCTAGTTTCCGAGTGGTGAGTCAACACACCGATTACTGAGCTGGGAGACATTGCCAGGCATAGCGCCAGGTGGAGGGGCATAAATCGAAACTAAAAAAAACCCCGTACCTGTGTATAAGACGCAACCCTGACTTTCAATTTTTTTTGGCGGCAAAAAAGTGTGTCTTATACATAGAGGTTTACGGTATGTAAATATCAGTGTTGTGGTTCTTCCCATCAAGTTGATCTCTGAATAAGCTTGAAATGACTAGTCCATGTACATGTGTGTTCCCAGAATCCCAGGTCACTTTCTCCTAAGATTATCATGAACAAATAGGCCTAAATTTCCACACATGTGGTATTGGCAAATCTTGAGTGTGGAGTTGTTAGTAAAAATATTTGTCCGTACACAGGAAATCACTTTCAAAATGGATCTTTTAGTGTACATTTTGAGGCTGAGAGGAAGGTAATTATTACAGCATGCATATGGAGTGCCTAAACGCATTTATCTACATGTACATGTAGTTCAAATACATTTATATGCAGGGTTATAGGGATCACCTCCCAGCTCTGGCCTGGCCCATGACTATTGACTAGTAGACCTGGAAAGACAGACTGTACTCCAGTGAGGCATAACCTTTGACTTCTTTTTTGGTTACCATGGAAACTAGGTGAGATGAGCGAGCCACCTGTTCAGTCACATGGCAAATTTCAAAGAGGAGATTGGGAAATTACATTCAAAATCATTCTTGTGTTCTTACTTTTACTGTGTAAGACTATTTATGTATGGATGTGTGTGAAAAAAGTATGCTTTACAAAAAGTCAGATTTACATGTATGTGTTTTATTCCGATGAAAGTTCTGTAGCAATATGAAATAGATTTGGAATAGTATTAATCATTTTTTTGTTATCAAGCAACAACATTAAGTTGAACAGAATTGAAAAATCAACAACATCATAAAAACAAACCATAGCGAAACAACAAACAAAAGCAAAAATAGAATATAGTTGTGAATACTGTGAGGGTGGCTGTCAATGGGTGTTTTCGGAATAAAATGCTCCAAGGTTGTATAGTATTACTGTAGTCCCATATGTAGGGATTGCTGTAGCAATATTGTAAAAGTTAAAATGGAAATCGACTTCTGAAGGCAATGTAATAAAACTGGCACTTGATCTCAGCCATTGCCGCGGTTGACCGCCTGTTTTAAGCTACATCTTAAGAAATGAAAATGGTAGAATGGCATATTGAATTTGAAATTAACATTGACTGATTCATGCTTGTATGAAAACACCATTGAAACAAATGTGCAGATGGTTGTGGGATCAATAGCAATTACTACTGTGTGAAAGGTGGGACTAGGGATGACGAGGTCATAATCACTGCCACACAGCTACGGATGTGGGTTAACTTAATAACACAGATATAGAGAGGGGGAGAGAGAGAGAGAGAGAAGAGAGAGAAAGAGAGAGAGAGAGCCACACACATACACATGAAGGGCCATGAACCTTGTGGTCGTGAGTGTTCTTGAATAAGCATGATACTTCAACCCTTCAAGGCCTAGTAGAATGCTTTGCTATCCAAACTCCTGTCACATTATGGTCAAATGACATGGACAACAGTTGAGTCCTGAGTAAATATTTATACAGGTATATGCTCGCCTAGAACACCCAGTATATATTGACCAATATTGAGAATACGTGATCTGTGCAGTGTTCAGCCACGAGGAAATCAGCTCTGGCCCATTTTTGACTCGGCAATAAAATACATGTAGTTACTAATGAAATCTATCAATGGGTTGAATAATTACACTATGAAAACTGGATTAAATAAAATAAATAATGAACTAACTTTTTCTTTAAAGGTACTATGTCCCATTTGCAGCCGACATCAAATTCTGTAGAACTTTGCAGGAATTATGAATAAGTCACATATGTCCTTTCTGTGAAATTTAACCGTTAGTAGTGTCCTAATATTCAAATTATGCAAGGAAACCCGTTTACTTTCTAGACTTTCTAGACACTGTCAGACACTTTTGAGTGACTGGCTGACTTTTTTTCTCTTAGGTAATAACATTCTAAAAATGAGCTGTAAAGTGCGAAGGGTACATGAGAATTTTTCTACATCAATAATTCAATTCTTGTAATGGCCATAATAAACTGATTGAATCTTTGCGCAGCACAAAATGTACAAACATTCAGAACAAGGGTCTGAAAATGGTTCTGAGAGAAGTTCTAAAATAGTATTATCTTTCAAATGCCATTGGAATTTAACCTTTTCATTTTTTTGGCATGCAAATGGGACATAGTACCTTTAAACTGTTCCTTTTTCGTGTACAGAGGTTTCAAAGTGAAAAATCAATTTTTTACACCATGTCATAAAACTGCGATATCTCCTACTGGTACTAAACCTGGCAGCCAGCTGGCCCAATCACATTCAGTTCACAAGATAAAAACAGCTTCACTTGCATGTCAATGTTGTAAAAATTATCACACAATCTGAAAACATTAAGAATCAAAACTATACAGCAATTAAAGTAATCAAATATTCTTAAAACAAACAAATTATTTGTATTTGTAGTATAATCATATTGAGTTGCCTGGGTAG